TGAGAAAGGGTGGAAAAGAACATACAAGTTCAAGACTAATAAATAGAGTAAGATTTTTACCAAACAATACAAAGAAAGCTGAGAGTGTACGTGAATTCTACACTTTTTGATGCACGTAAAAAAACAGCAACCAAAATAACATAAAATTATATTGAATAGGGATCACATAAATTTTTTAATAGTAAATACTTTTTTAAGTAGTCTATCTCTTTAGTAGATTTACAACTCCTTAAATAAATTTAAAAACTTACCTAAACCAACAACAAAACTTGAAAATAAAGGAAAAATAATAAAAATTCAAAACAAACTAGGAAAAACATCTTAAATAAATCCGAAAAAAAAAATAATAGAAAAAATCATCCTAAACCAACTAAAACATTATAACAAATCTAAAACAGTAACTCATAAACATTATCAAAAAGTCTTCCCGATTTGCAATTGCTACTAAATTTTTAACCCCTAAGAGAACAATTATATTTTGATACCAATTTTTTTTTTTCATTTTTAGTTCTTTTTTCATAGGAAGGGAGTCGCTAGATTTCGACGAAGAGAGAGAAAGCTCTTTGTTGGTGATGATTTTGACCACCAAAAATGTTAAAATTGGTGTCAACGGATTCCACCAGATGAGAGGAGTCTTATAATGGTTGTTTTAAGCCTCAATGTAACCTAAGAAACCAGATCTAGGTCAAGTATGCAATTTTTTTTTTTAATTTGACTTGATAGGTTAGACCATTTTTTAGGTTTGATATGTTGGTTTTTTTGTGTTCTAAGGTTTTTCTTTTTTTAGTGTTTTATGGTTGAAATGGGTTGGAAAAAGGGTACCTTTAATGAAACATTTATAGGCCTAATTTTCTAACCACCGTAGTTATGGTTAGAATTTAGACCGGTAAACAAGACATCATCTACCACAGCAAGTGACGTGTTATATGTTTATTTTTTTTCTTAAAAAGAAATAGGGGGTGGCTTGTCATCAACCCCTTTAAAAAAGAAAAAAAATAGTAGGCCCAGGTGCACGGGTCTTGGCTTCAAGGCCCACGTGCTTGGGCTTTTTCTTTTTTGGTATTTTTTTTATTTTTTTCAATTAATACCTTTTTATATATTTTTAAATATTTTTTAAGTTTTTTTAATTAATATCCTGTTTTTTTCTTATTTAACCATTTTTAAATACAAATTATTTTTTAATTATATTTGGTGTCTTTAATTTTAATGAGATTAGTGTGATTTATTTGTCATATGTGTGTGTGTGTGTGTGAGCGCGCGCGTGACCTTACATAATATTTTTTTTCCTTGTATTTTATTTCATAAACTTTATGTGTTTGTTAATTTCTATTATAAATTGATTTTAATTAAAAAAAATTCTTTAAACACAATCGGGTAAATAACCTATATTGCACTATTAAATATATTGATTTATATTTATCTTTTAATTTTTGCAATTTGATTTTTATTTATCATCAATTATTTTCTATTGAATTATCTCGACTTTGTGATTTAGGACGCACATTATACATGTAATCTTGACATGTCTCATGTCTAGGTCATAAATTTCACAAGTTAACCTAACTTTGCCAAGAGCAATATTTTTTTTTCATTTGTTTTTTGTTGTTGTTGCCTCATTTTTATCATATTATCAAATTAATCAAAATTTAACTTGATTATTGAATTTCTCTCACTTCTTTAAAAACATGATCATCTCTTTTTTTTGGGTTAAAAAAATTGATTCAACTCACGATGTTGCCCGGATCACCAATCTAATTTATCTGCTTTGATCATATACTAGTTATGGTGCTTCTATCATAAGCTTTTCTCTTTTTTCATCATTATTTTCATTAAATCTACTTGAATATTTTTTTAACAACATCATTGTTTCATGTCTCAGCTTCATAAAAAATAACATCATGAATAATAATAATTTTCTTGGTGCTATTGTTATATAGTTTTTAAGCTTTTGAATAATCACTAATACAAAAAAAAATATATAGTTTTCTCTTTTGTCATCAATTTTTCCTTTTTTTTTTATCTAAAATATGGGCATAAGCAATGCACCTAAAAATTATGAGATGATTTATTATTGATCTTCATCCACTATAAGTTTCATTCGGTGTTTTATATCCAACATAAAATGTTAGACTTCTATTTGAAATATAAGTGTTGAAGTTTACTCCTTCAAGCCAAAGCCTTGTCAAAAAACTTTGCATTATATCTGTAATATTTTGATTTTTTTTTTCACAAACATCATTTTGTTTAGACATATAAGCTACGACAAGTTGCCTCCTGATTTTATAGGTCTTACAAAAATTTTCAAATCCATGTGAGTTATACTCTTCATTATAATTTGTTCAAATAACTTTGGTTGGTGTATCGGTTTTATTCTCAACATGTGCTTTATATTTATTAAAGACTTGAAAAGCTTCAGATTTTTTAAAATAATCTAAATTTTTCAGCTATAAAAATGATTATATATATTTTACCTCCATTATAAAGTGAAGTAATTAGCCCACAAATATTGGAATGAATAAGCTCTAATGGCTTCTTTGATCTCCATGATTTTACTTTTAGAATTTGATTTTAATGGTGCTTGCTAATAACACATTCATCACAAACTTGAGGAGGAGTTGTAATGAGAGGAAGTTCTATCACTATATTATTTTGATGTATAATTTTCAATCAGCTAAAATTAAAATGTCTATAGTGAAAATTACCGTAGTTATGCTTTCTCCTTTAATCTCGTAGAAAAACATGAATGAGTATTATTTTAAAGATATTGAGAAAACAAGTGATTCTTCATCATATTAACTTTAGAAATGAAGCCTAAATTGTCATCTTCAATTCTACATACTCTATTTTTTATATAAAATTCATACCCTTTTCTTAAAACTGACAAATGCTAAGTAAATTTATTTTTAATGTTGGAACAAAAAAAATATCAGAGATGGTATGGACAATATTCTTCTTGATTTAGATTGTTATCATTCATTTTTCTATAATGAAAACTTTAGACTCATCATAAACTTCACAAAATTATATGCTATATGAATTATTATATGCCTTTTTAGATCTAACCCTCAGTAAAAGTTAATTAGGCAATGAAAAATCATGTTTGATATTAAGAAAATGGGTGTGGTCAAACAAGGATATTGTTTATTTTAGAGATTAAAATAAGAATTTCTCATGCATCATTGGTCTCTTAATAGCCTTGAGGCATCTAAAAAGAACCTAATATTTGATTCACAATCGATTGGTGTTCTTTAAGCTCATGAAATCAATATGATCCTAAGTAGGATTTTGTATTGATCCTAAGTAGGATTTTGTGAGGCAATACTTTAAGCTAACAAAATCACATGGAAAACAAGTATTTGTTGCCTCGTAATTCTTAAACTCATGGCATAAACCTATCATATTCACTTTTAAGGACGAAGAGAGGGTGAGCTTTTATTATAAGGACATTCTAGTGATTAGTACTATATAAGGTGTCCATGTATGATGAAAGTATAATCAATATCCCTTTAAAAAAAGTCATAGAATAATTAAACATTTTTTTATCCAAATTGATTCTAGTAAAAAGTCCATTGATAAAGATAAAAGATAAAAAAAATATCAGTTAAAAGAGTCATAAATATATTGATAATTAATGGTAACTATCCTAAATCTCACACACTCTAACATGCCTTCATAGTGATTAAGATATATTTGGCTTAAAATGTCATCTTTTCTCCACTAAATAAATATGATAATCGATACCAAGTATTTGGCCATGAAGTTCCTGTCTAAAAAATGAGTGGCCATAGCAAGATGAAATCATATAATATCTAGAAAATATTTCTCTATTAGCTTAAAAGCATCAATTTAATATTTTTTTCAAACACAAAACAATTCAAAAATCAAGTTGTAACAAAAAAAAAAAAAACACTCATTTGTCTTATTAACTAATATCCTACATTATCAACCTATGTTAAAAACACATAAAAATCAACTCTCTCTTTTTTTTTATGCAACACCTAATTGTCTTTGTAAGTAGTTTTGATATTGAATTAATTATGCCATAATTCACATTTTTTCTATTTAAAATGGAAGATCCTTTTGTTAGATCTTGAAGGAAAATTGGTTAGCTTGTATTTTTCATTTCATGCTCATGGGATGTGTCATAAATTCAATCCTAAACTAGTTAGTTTTGGTTAATGGGAAAAATGGTTTTGTGATTGACCAAAATGTTTTCAAGGTAATTTCTTTGTCTTGCAAAAGCAAGAAATGCCCCTCAAATAGTAAGGTTGAGAATCAATAACTTAATTAATTGTTAATTAATTGGGATTTCTTCTCTTATATCTACAACTATGAAATGACTAGGTGCCAACGTTACATTGTGGCACTTACTTTGAAAGATAACTCTTGAAAAACTTGCTAAAAAACATATAAGTAAGACTTAGTGTTTTAAATGTCCTCCATATCCTATAATCCTATAAAGCATTGTGACTAATAATATGGTGCTACAAATATAAAACTCAAGGCATAAACCAATTCATTGTGCAATAAGAAGGCTTAACCTGCAACAACACTCGCGATGTTGAAATCGTGGGAGAAATTAGGAGCTTGAATGTTGAAGTTGAGTGGGAGGCAAAAACAATGGTTTTTAAATCTATGGTGGTGAAGATTTAGAGTTTGATATGGGGATGGTGGATTCTAGAGTATTAGGATTGATGAAGAAATGAGGAGTGTGGTTTTTAACATGTGAGAGAAGAAAAGAGTGGAAGTTAAAAAGAATGGCTACTTATAGGAGTTGCTAATATGATTAGGCTGCTGATTATTTAAATAAGATGCGACAGATATCAGATCATCCTATTTAATCATATATATATTTGTGAAGTTTTTTTTTTAAAAAAAAAAACATAGAGAGAGATGCCAAGCTGGGCCTAGACTATTACAGAATTATTAGAATTTCTTTCCAAGTCAGGTTCTGATGAAAGAACTAAGCCCAGCCCGATCTTCCTAAAACCCTAGCGCATGGTATATATGGCTCTTGAACGCCGCTGCATCCTCTCTTGAATACCCAAAAAAAATAAAAAAAAAATAAAAAAAAGGAGCTCTTCTAGGGTTTCTCTGCATCTGTTGCTGCAATGGTAAAGCATCGCTAACAAACTCAATCCTTTTCTTCTTCTCTCTTTCTGTAAAAATCGTGTCTTTGTTTTCATCTACGAACTGCATTTGGTAATTGATTGTATGGGTGTGTGATTGTAACAATGGCAGGGGAAGGGAACAGGGAGTTTTGGTAAGAGGAGGAACAAGACCCACACCCTCTGTGTTAGGTGTGGCCGACGTAGCTTCCACCTCCAGAAGAGCCGTTGCTCTGCCTGTGCTTTCCCTGCTGCCCGCAAGAGGAAATGTATGTTTTTTTTTTTCATTTTCTGCGTATTGAACTCTGAATCAATCTGGGTATTTATCTCGAAGTAATTTTTATTTTTCTTTCAAGTCAATGCTCTCTTTTCATATTGATCTGACATCTTATTGTTCATCTTTGTATGTGTGTGTTAGGCTTCTATATGTATCTAACCTTAAGTGCTTAGCTGTTTATCTCGAACCACTTTTCTTCTCTTCATAGCCAATAAGCAAGTCTTGTGTTTGTGAAAAGAACATGTATATTTGTAGTGGTATGGCTGTGCTACTCCATTATCTGTAAATAGTAGTGTTGTGTATAGCTTGTTTATACGGGGGAAACCATGATGTTGTATGATGTTCAACCCAGAGCCCCTTTCTTCCCAATTTTTAAAGATTCAAGCCCCCTTACCTGCCTTTTGATCCATGTCAGCTTCCCATGTATAATTTATTCGCAATGATTACCAGTTTATGAAGATAATTGTGATGGATGTCGTTTTCAATTAGCTTTTAAGTATGTTACTTCTGCTTGAACTTGTACAGTCTGGTTTGTGAACAAGCTGGTGGATTTTATCTTCTTTTATTGTGGTTTCAGACAACTGGAGTGAGAAGGCAATCCGGAGAAAGACAACTGGAACCGGAAGGATGAGGTATCTCCGCAATGTCCCTCGCAGGTTCAAGAGTGGTTTCAGAGAAGGTAAAGAGCTTTGCCTTCTTATTTTGAGGGCAATTTTTCTTTTTTAGTTTAATAAATACTAAATTTGGGTTAAAATGATTCCTTTCTGTTATCTTGACTTTGTTGACCGGCTTTTGATCAGGCACTCAAGCAGAGCCAAGGAAGAAGGGTGCAGCAGCATCTGCTTAGCTGTGAGTCTTTTTGGGTGTCATCTGGGAACCCACTTATAGATTTACATGAAAATTATGTATTGGGGAGTTTTGTGAGAACATTGTTTAATGGGGTACGATTCAGCTTTTTGATGCTATTTAGTTAAATTTACATTTCCTAATTATGTAGTTGGTTTGATTTTGAATGAGGATGCTGGGACTATCATTCAATTTTCTTTATGTTTCTGACGAAAGTTTAAAACATAATTCAATGTGTGGATGGTGATCTCAAGCACAAGTGATAATCCCTGTCAAGGCCAGCACAGGTTGTATTACTAAGATAGGGTGGGTTGCCAGTTTATACTAGGCAGATTCTGAGGACACCCGTAGCAGTAAAACCGCCTGAATATAAACGTGCACAGCAGTTGTTCTAAGCAGGCCTCCTGGTGAATGCCAATGCTATTGTGTACTCTGCCATATTACATTTGACATGGCTTCAAATGTGGTACACCGACCTTCTAGTACAAGATTGGATGGCACTTTTTTCTCGAATAGATGTACCGCCATCATCTACACGGGAGAATAGGTTGCAGGGGGTTTTTTTAAAATAAAAAAAATTATGATTCGACCAATGTAAGATATTATAGTTGATATTGTGTTGTTGGGGGGGGTGGGGGGGGGGAAGGTATTTCA